GGTACCAAAAAAAAAAAAAGAATTCTTCATGAGCCAGGGACTTAGCTCAGTGGTGCTGCTGCCTGCCTCACAAGCACAGGGTCCTGAGTTTGAGCCCCCGTACCAAAAAAAAAAAAATCTTCATGTTAGAATTCAAAAAGGGAGTGAAGGGAGTGAATGCCTATCTTGAAGTCAGTGGACCATCCCAAGGAGAGGTTGCCACAAGGCACCTGTTAGTCACCTTGTCTTTTCTCTATTCCTTTTTTTTGGACATGGTGTTAGGGATGGAATGCAGAGTCTTACACATTCTAAGCAATGTTCTGTTACTGAGCTACATCCACCATCTCCTTACCTTTTTGTCCCTTTTTTTTTTTTCTTTTCAATTTTTGTAGTGACACTGGCTTGAAAGTCTCTCTAGTGATAGGAGGCCTGTCTTTCTTTTCTTATCAGCCAAGGATAGAAACTAAATGCTTGTAGTTTAGGTACCTAAAAGCCTGAAGGAAAAGGGGAAAAAAGTGGAAAAGGAAGAAAGAGACTGCCACTTTAAGTGGCTGTGAACCCAAAGGATAAAATAAAGGCATTTTAAAATACAGAGGAATACCATGTCACGCAAACATAACAGTACTGATAGGTGAGGTACTAATTTAAAACAGCTTCTAGATCAAACAAGGTACTAATTTAAAACAGTACAATGTGGGGGCCGGGGATTTAGCTCAGTGGTTCTGCTGCCTGCCTCGAAAGCACAAGATCTCGAGTTCTATCCCCAGTACCAAAAAAAAAACCCCCAAAATAGTACAGTGTGGTTAAATAGATGATGTGCTGTGGTCAGAATGTGTGCATTGCCATTAATCTCCCTCAGAATTCTCCCTTTTGCTTTGAACACACTTATCCCATCATTCTTGCCACTTTCTGGAGCAGTTCTGGAAGTTTTTTTTGAGTATCTTTACAAGATGTGATGAATAATACAGTTAATGCTGCTGCTAAGTGCCATCAAATGGAAAGGCAGGCTCGCAAAAACGTGATGGTGTGCCCCATCCACCTTATTCACCAGATCTGGCACCGTGCAACTTCTGGCTCTTCCCCAAAGTCAAAATGACCATGAAAGGTAAACATTTTGAATCTATTCAGGCTGCCACAACAGCACAACTAAAGTCACAAGTCATGTGTATATCTCTGTATTTTAATATAAATAGTATTAAGTAAATATGTGATGAATTTTCATATGTAAACAACTAACAAAACAAAATTTTATACTTTGATCTAATTCAAAATCCAAAATTTATACAGGTTTTTGTTACACAACAAAACTTAAGGGACACTAAATTTTTTTTTGCCTGTATAATATAGGATCTAGCAACTTCAGTATTATTTAAAAGAGATTGAAAAAAATTGAGAAAAATTTATGGAACTTGATTAGGAACCTGAATTACAGTTATACTTAGATATCTCACCAAATTTAAATACTATGCCTTCTATAGTCTTAAAATAGTAACTAATAGAGCCAGGTGTGGTGGTATACACCTGTAATCCCAGCACTCAGGAGGCTGAGGCAGGAGGATTGCCTCGAGTTCGAGGCCAGCCTGGGCTACATAGTGAGTTCAGAGCCAGCCTGAACCACAAAGGGAGATCCTGCCTCAAAAAACCATACTAATAAAATGGGTGAAATTAAATATGCCCCATATTTAATGTATAGATTTATAACTTTCTCATTGTCATTATACCCATAGCCTGAAAATATTCCTTACTGAATGTAGATATTGTGATACAATAAATGGTAAATTAACATTACATTACATTAAATTTTTGGTATTTATAATGGACACATGAAACAACATGGACTCTCATTAAAATGTAAATAAGGGTCAATGCAAATGAAAATAGGACCTTCAGGGATTAAAATTGAACTTCTCAAAGATAACAAATAAAGGGTGATTATCCTCACTCCTTTTTCCATTGTTGCCTACTGTTAAATTTAAAAATAATGTAGGGAGATTTGATGGATAGATCAGATAGAGTCTGACATAGAGTCTTCTAGTGGATTACTATAATATTAAAGCTGTAGTTCTGACAGTGAAGACCCCCATGCCCAATATTTAGTATTATGAAAATTTGTGATTCTGTTCAGTCAACAACTGGTAAATATTTTGCTCTTATATATTGACTAACATGTTCCTTTCTGTGCCTTTTTCAACAGCCTCTCAGCTGCTGTGTGCCTCCACCTCAGCAGATACACTGCAGTTTTTCAAGGCTGCCTGTGGGGTGCCTCAGCAAGTTTTCATCACACAGTCTGTCCAACTTTGTCCAGAACTACAGGTATGGCATGACCTTGACAATATCCTCCTCTATGGTATTCATTTGGGACACTTAATATTAACAGATAAGTCAACCATCTTTTAGTCCTTTGGTTCTAGTGTGAGCATATCTTTCATTTAGAAGTTTTACTTACTAGTTAAAATCAGCCACTCCAATTAGAGTCTTCAGACACTCAGTCATACAGAGGGTTTAGCAACATCTTGTCAAGTCCTGGAGTCTCTGTACCCCTCATTTTGACCTTTATTTACCCCAAGCTGCTGGTGGAAGAAATTGCCCCTTTTCTGTCAAGTGTGGTGGTGCACCCATGTAATCCCAGGACTCAAGGAGGCTAAGCTAGGAGGATTCAAAGTTCAAGCCCAGCCTATGCAATGCAGCTGTATATCCAGACCCTATCTCAAAATTACAAATTTTTAAAAGCTGGGGATGTAGCTCAGTGCAAAGGTTCAATCCCCTACTAACACACACACACACACATGCACACACACAAAGAAAGAAATAATAAGAAATAAGAATGATAATTGCTCCTTTGAGCCTTTTGGCATACATCATTAAAAGAACAGTTGGTAGGCCACCTAGTGGGCTATGCAGGAAACATGCTCTGACAGATGCTGAGCCTGAGACCATCCATACTGAGCTTTTCACTTTACTTTGGATCAAAAATGCCTCACAAGCTTGACATGGGTACCAAGGCAGTGTCCTAACAGTATGGAATCAAATCCGGGCCCTCTGATATATTCTACCTTCTCCTGTCCTCTGTCCGTTGACAGATCAGGGTATGTGAGATCACCCCTCTCCCAGACCCAGTGGGTATCTAAAGAGCTTCTTGGGACCGACTGTGTGAAAGACAGTGGGAGTTTGTGGACTGTCAGATATCACCACTAACCATCATACAGGTGATGGAGCTCTGTCATGTTGCTGCTTTTTGTATCCTAGTCAGGATGTACCTAATAAAGGGCAGGATGTAGGAAGCAACACACTTGGCAAAACTTGAGACAGATGGACATCTTTAACATTGGATGCTGTGGACAGCTAGTTGTCCTATTTTTACACATACGATGAACTAGTGAGCAATGGCAAAGGATTTTCTTCTTCAGGTAAAAAACAGATCAAAATCAACCAAAACCTCTGTGATTTCTTGGTTCGCACAAAATAGGAATCAAAATTGCATATGCAAGGTGAGGCTGTAGCTCAGTGGTAGAGTTTGCCCAGCATACGAGAGGCTCTTAGTGAAATACCCATTGCTGGGGGTGGGGGGAGTTAAAAGAAAAATAAAAACCTGCAAATGCCCCTACACATACTACAGCCACAATACAAGGCCTTAAAGGAACACTCCCCATTCTCTTCAGAGTTACTGCATGCTGTTTTACTTTTGAGAAAATAAACCGTAGAACCCTTGGAAGAGACATTCAGTAGAACTTTCATGTTTCTGATAGGTCCCTGGTAACTGTTTCACAGTCATAATCATTTTCTCAGGTTTTCAAATTCCACTACAACAGATAAATCCCAAATGCAGTATCTTGTCCCAATCTTTAACCTGTTTGTTTTTATTTTGGTTTTGTGGTACTGGGGCCTTCACACTTAGCTACATCCTTAGCCCTTTTATTCTCTCTTAAGACAGGATTTCACTAAGTTGCTAATTTCCCCAGACTGTTCTAGACCTTGCAGTCTTTCTGCCTCAACTTCTTAGAGGGCTGGGATTCCAGGTGTGTGCTACCACACGTGACTCCTATTTCTATAAATTTTCCATCTTACCCACTTCACATAAGGGCTGGTGGACAGAGTGGGCACATCCTACTTTGGCACTTGTTAACTATACATTATTCCACAGGACAAGCAGACATTCATTTGACATGAGACTTATTTCAACTTAACCTTCCGCCAAAAACAAAACTTTCTGTGATATACAGCTACACACTACTTGAGTGTTGGTCTTGGTGACACTGTGCTGCATATTTGCATTCATTTGTAACCCGGATACCCACATCAGCATGAATGGATGCCTTCTTGGAAAGGTACCCAAGTCCCACATCCCACGTGAGTTCAGCCTCTCTTAAAAGCTTATGACTGGATATGAGGCTGTGCCATCTGAGGACCTCATAGTTAGAAATGAAGTTTCTACTGATGATGACAGCTATACCTTTTCACTGAAACCTGTCTCTAATGATGCCATAGACTGCTTCCCTGAATAGTATGTGTACAGATTGTACATGTAATATTTGTTTTTCTCTTTTGTAATATTGGGGATTGAACCTAGGGGCCTCATACTTACTAGGAAAGTGCTTTGCCACTGAGCTACTTCCTCAATCCCTCCCCTTTGTGTGTGTGTGTGTGTGTGTGTGTTTGAGTGTTTGTGTTTGAGGTGGGGTCTCACTATGCAGTTCAGTCTGGCCTTGAACTCACTCTGTAGCCCAGGCTGGCCTCAAAATTGAAGTGATACTCTTGCCTCAGCCTCCAGAGTGTTAGGATTATAGGTGTACACCACCATGCCCAGCTCATGTGTGTTAATATATTGGGAATCAAACTCAAGGGTGCTCTGTCACTGAGCCTACATCCTGCATTCCTAGCCTTTAGAGATAGGCGTTGCTAATTTGCTAGCCTGGACTCAACCTTGTGATCCTACAGCCTCAGCCTTCTAAGTAGCTAGGATTACACGGTATGTTTTTTTTCCCCAGGTCACAGTCTGCTTAGCCCATGACCCAGGTATATTCTTTACTCTCTCCTAAGATATATGCCTCCCATCTGGTAGATGTTACTAAAAATAATGAAAATTAATGCTTTCCTCAAGAAGCATCTACCTCCACTCCTTAACTCCCTCAGAAGACCACCCACTGATTGAAGCCTCGTATTATGTCCTCCAGCTTACCACCGCACCCTTGCATGTGACACCATTACCACCATAATGTCTGTTTTCTCTTGGTTCAACACAGTACTACATTCTGAAAATACATTTCCCTTTTATTAATCGGTCCCTTTAGTTGGGCCCCCAAATCAATAGCACTAGACCTTACATAGTTTTCTTTGCTGACTTAGGCCATGTTTTCCTTAATGAAACCATACCTTTATATGCAGTGGTCACACTAAACATTCCCATTGTTCTTTCATTAGGTACCTGCTTCCATCTGAAGGTTTTTGGGCAAAATGGAAATACAGTAGTCTTTTCCACTGGAATACTTTCCATGATGGCCAATCGAAACCTAAAATTGAAGATAGTACAGAACTCTCTATATATTATTTTTTATGTAAATGTGGTCTTTCTCAAAATATCATTGTCTTATAGTCACCATTTATTTTTTCAGTGTTAGGGTTGGAACTCAAGTTGTTGTGCATGCTAGGCAAGTGATTTATCACTGAACTATATCCCAGCCCTCTCTACTTCCTTTTTTTTTTTTTTTTTGGTATCTGAGATCGAACTCAGGTCCTTCTGCTTATGAGGCAGGTGGCGGAACCATTGAGCTAAATCCCTGGCCCTCTACTTCATTTTTCAGAGACTAGTTAACCACAGGTAATAGAAACTGTGGCAAGTAAAACTGAATATAGAGGACTACTGTATTTAGTCTTATGTTAATAGGATAACCCATGGTCAAAGGTGCTGGCATTAGTGGCACCAGTTTAACAGCATCACATAACTGCCAACCAGCACCTTTCATTGTCCTCTTAAAATCCTGCTTAAAAAAATAAAATACTGCTTAATGGGTACAGGAAACATGGTTTATTATACAAGCCTGTGAGACTCTAGTCCTAATGGAATAGATGAAACTGATGTGCAGTTGACTAAACATTGCTGTCAACATTCTTTAGTTACAGGATAATCTATGAGGAATAGACCAAGAGGTAAAGGTGTGTCACAACATAACCAACATCTTTCAGCGGCTTACCTTGAATTCTGAGATGCCTGACCTGTTTTTTGTGGGTATAGATGGCAAAGTATGGTGTCTGGTTATAGACTGTGTTCCATACCTTCATCATATGCCTAATGGGGCTCTTCTTATTTTTTTGGTGCCAGGGATCGAACTCACGACCTTGCCCTTGCAAGGCAGGCACTGTGCTAATGGGACTCTTCTTAGTTCACCTTTATAAAAGATAACCTTTTCACTGCACAAGCGCAAGGACCCAAGTTCGATCCCCGGTACCAAAAAAAACCAAAAAAACAAGATAACCTTTGGGAGCAGTCTGTCACCCTCAATTTTAAGTACTCCACAACATAGGTATTGTGAAAAACATTGGGCCGGGGATTTAGTTCAGTGGTTCCACCACCTGCCTCCCAACCGCAAGGTCCCGAGTTCGATCCCTGGTACAAAAAAAAAAAAGTGTGTCAAAAATGTTGATGAGCCCCAGAATGGATTGGCTTATAATGTTTTTAAAATTCATGTTTTCTAGGGTTGAAGGTGTAGCCTTGCTATGGATCTTCAAATGTTCAATGGAGAAAACCCCTACAAATTGGAGGAATATGAAAAGGGCTTTCAGTATTTTCCATGCCTTACTAATCCCATGGAAACCCACACTGAAGCAACACTGTGTGAATGTGAGGAATGTTGGAGAGCATTTGCCTTTTCCTCACACCTAAGTCAATATGTAACAATTTCTTCTGGAGAGAAATCCCAAAAATGTAAGGAATGTGGGAAGTGCTTTGCTACTTTTACTCAACTTTCTGCACATATGGAAGTTCATACTGGAGAAAAGCCCTTCCAGTGTAAAGAGTGTGGAAAGTGCTTTACAAATAACACATACCTTAACGATCACAGGAAAATTCACACTGGAATAAAATCATACAAATGTGTGGAATGTGGGAAAGCCTTCTTGAGGTGGTCAGGCCTGACTGAACACTTACGAGGAGTTCACAGTGGAGAGAAGCCCTTTGTGTGTAAGGAATGTGGGAAAGCCTTCTCGAGGTCCACTCAGCTTAATGAACATATCAGGACACACACTGGAGTCAAACCCTACGAATGTAAGGACTGTGGGAAAGCCTTCACTCAGTACTCAGGCCTTGCTACCCACGTGCGCATTCACAGTGGAGAGAAGCCCTTTCAGTGTAACCAGTGTGGGAAAGCCTTCACTAGGACCTCAGGCCTCATTCACCATGTAAGAACACACACAGGTGAGAAGCCTTTTGAATGTGTCCATTGTGGGAAAACCTTTATTACTGCCTCCCACCGTACTAAACATATGAAAATTCACAGTGGAGAAAAGCCCTTTGTGTGCAATATTTGTGGGAAGGCGTTTGTATATTCCACATCCCTTAACATTCACATGCGAACGCATACTGGAGAGAAACCTTACATCTGTAAGGAATGTGGGAAAGCGTTTGCTGTTTCCTCACGCTTAAGCAAACATGCAAGTGTTCACCATGGGGAGAAGGCCTATAAATGTGAGGGTATCAGTGTTACTATTTAGTCCCCTTTACCCACCCCTAAATAATGACAGTGACACCAAAGATCATCAGTTAGTCTTAACTGGTTTGTGTGAGTTTTAATGGCTCTCACTGGCTTAGGTGCCACCTGACCTAAGTTCCCTTCTGTAACTTTTTTTTTCTTTTTGTAGTGCTGGGGATGAACCCCAGGGCCTCACACATACTAGGCAAGCACTGTACTACTGAGCTACATTGCGGCCCCCCTTGAACTGCTTCACACATAGCTGAGTCTGAGCACTTTTAGGGGTCATAGATGAGGTCACTATTGCCGGTCGACCTCAACTGGTGCTTGGACCCCTAGTGAAGGTAGCATTAACACATGTTACGCATGGGTGTTCAACCTTTTGGCTTGCTTGGCCTCACTGATTGCGGCACATATAAATATATAATATGGTCAGTGTACATATTTAACAAAATTTCATTTAAAAGATTTTTATGATAATATTAAATAACACAAGCAACCTGTAGGCCATAGGGTGGACCTGCCTGAGTGACATAACTGATTTGGTCCTCCCCCCTTGTTGGTTAGTGGCTGCCAGTCTGGCTGGCTATTCATGTGAAAATTCTCCAAAAGCCCAGTTGGTACAGGAGGAGGTGGACTGTTTAAAGGCACTCCTCCAGGTGTGTCTTGACCCCACTGATCATGCTGAGCATGCCAAGAAGAAAACGGTCCCTGTCTGTTCTTAATGACTAGTCTATATTTCTAGCCGATTATCCCTGTTTCCTTATAACATCTAAGAAGTCCACCTTGTTTTGCCCTCTAGGTCTGTTTTAGATCTAAAGGGAAATTCTTGTGCTAGTATAATTTAGTCTGTTCCTCTTCTTTTTTTTTGGTACCAGGGATCAAGCTCTGGACCTTGGGCTTGGGAAGAAGGTGTGGTGCCACTGAGCTAAATCCCCGGCCTCAGTTTCTCTTTTGAGATTGCTGATATCCCAGCCCTGGATCCTATCCTTGATCTGTTTATCAAATGGTTTTTCAGCCACTCTTAGTATTCTTTTCAGTTCAGCCTTTGTTTTTGGAATATGAGCAGTGTGATTTTTTCCAAATTTACAAGTTCTGGTTCCTTTTAGTTTAATAGTTCTTTGTTAGATTCTGGTCTCTGTTTTCACATTTAACTACATGTAGTCAAGTGGAGCTGAGCTGGTCCTTTAACACTTTAATTACAAACCTCATAAATTTTTTTTCTACCTGTCACAAATTGCTTTAATACAGCTGTATTCTGGCAAGGTCTTTGCTTGAGATTGTTTTTTTCTGCTCCCACCCTCTTTCCCTCCCTCTCTCCCTCTCATCCATCCTTTCATTTTGATGCTAGGGATTGAACCTATTCTAGTAAGTGCTCTACACTGAGCTACATCACTAGTCTTTTTTTTTTTTTTAAACATTTTGTGGTACTCTGGATTGAACCCATTGCCTTCACACTGAGCTAGCTACAGTCCCACACTTTTATTTTTAGTCTAAAACAGACTATCACTAAATTGCCTTGTCTGGGCTTGTTCTCTAGCCAGTCTCCCACAGTGCTGGGATTACAGGTTTGCATAGCAGGCCCAGCTTTTGTTTTAATTTTGAAAAAGAATCTTGGTGGGCTGGGGATTTAGCTCAGTGCTTTCACCACCTGCTGCACAAGTGCAAGGACCCGAGTTCGATCCCTGGTACCAAAAAAACCAAAACAAACAAAAAAACTTGGTAAATTGCCCAGGCCAGCCTTGCACTTATAGTCCTGGTGCCTCAGTCTGTTGAGTAGCTGGATTATAGGGTTGTGCTAACTCACCTTTTCTGTGTTCCTCATTCTCAAATGACCAATCACCTGTACACCACTTAATATCCTGATTTCTAGAGTGCACTTGAAAGCATTTCCAGCCATTGTCTATTATTCAGATCTGTTTTCACATTTTTAGGATTTCTTTTTACCGCAACACAACTTCTCAACACCAAAATCTATCAAGCATTGCTTAGGCTGCCATAACAAAATTCCACATACCAAATGGCTTAAAATTTTATTTTGAATTAATATAAAAAATTGAAATACACAGAAATTCATTTTCTCTCATTTCTGGAGTTCGAATGTGTAATATCAGAAGTACGAACATAGTTGAGTTTTGGTGAGGGCTGTCTTCTTGCCATGGAACTGCCTGCCTCCTTATTGTGTCTTCACATGATGGAGACTGAAAATGAGGTTCCTTTCCCTTCCTTTTTTTGTGATCCTCAGCTTTCCAGACTGCTGGGATTACCAGGCATGTACCGCCACTCCCAGGTGGACCATCTTTAATATTTAACTTTATTATGTTTGCTAGTATGTTATAAAAGACTTTTGTAGATAAAGTTAAGTAGCATTGGCATGTAGTTTTTCTTACATAAGAAAAATAGGGACTAAAGGTGTAGTTCATTGATAGCACACTTGCCTAAACGTGCATGAGATCCTGGGTTCAAGCTTCAGTACAATGAAAAAAATTTTTAAAAAGATAAAGTAGAAAAAAAATGCATCAAGGCTGTGTAGAGTGCATGTGTGCAGGGCCCTGAGTTCTATCCCGAGCACCATGAAAACAATTTTTAAAAATGGCCATTATGGTATTCAGATATATGTAGACTATGCTAATATGATATACTGCAGTGGGGTGTATTCCTGTTGTACCTAATTTCATAACTATCAGGTTAAATTATCTGGATTTAGAGTGTTTACTGGCATAGGTATCCTTTTTCTATAATTTTAAGCAATTTGCTCAATTTCTTCTATGGTTATAGAACAACTATGGCTTGCAGCATCTTAAAGTGTTTTGATTATATTTTTCTAGGTATGTTTTTATTTTCACATGTGCAGCAAAGTTTATATATATTTTTTGTTATATTTTTAACATTTCCTGGTTGTATTATTTACTTTGGGCATCTTTTGCATTCTGGAATGATTCCTTTTTTTTTTTTTTGGTACCGGGGATCGAACTCAGGTCCTTGCACTTGCGCAGCAGGTGGCGAAACCACTGAGCTAAATCCCCGACCCTTGGAATGATTACTTTTTGCATTCTTTTTCTTGTGTTAGTCTCAGCAGTATTCAGATTTGTGATCTTCCTTCCCCTTTTTTGCCATACTAGGGACTGAACCAGATGCTTCTATTAGCCAAGTGTTCTACCACTGAGATGTATTTTAGCCAGGTTTGTGGTTTGTCTTGAAAAGTCTAACCTTTCTGCTGGGGAATAGCGCTAGTAGAGCGTTTGCCTATCATGCACAAGGCTCTGCGTTCAATCCCCAGTACTGAAAAAAAAATTAAATTTCTAATATGCTTTCTATTCCTTTAATTATGTTAGATATTTATCTGGCCATATTCACTTGGTTTTTTCTTCTTCTTTTTGGTTTTTGGTGCTGGGGATCAAACCTAGGGCTTGCTCATGCTAAGCATGTGCTCTTTATTACTGAGCTACACCCCTAAGCCCAGATGTGTCTTTTTATGTATACTCGAGCAGGAAATGAAAAAAATCTGAATACTTGAAAACTTCTGAGTAACAATCCTTTTCTTTTACATTTAGTCCATAATGTGTAATGTAATTAGTAATAAATTTGGATGCACCTCTGAAATCTTGTTTTTTTTGTTATTTATCTTGTGCTTCTCTCTTGTATTGATTTTATTTTTCATTGAAATGATTTTAATCTTTTTTTTTTTTTTGGTACCGGGGATCAAACTCGGGACCTTGGGCTTTCGAGGCAGGAGCTGGAACCACTGAGCTAAATCCCCGGCCTGAAATGATTTTAATCTTGATGCTTGAAATTTATGTATTCCATTACTTTCTATCCTAAAACTTTTCATTCATTTTTTTGAATTAAAATCTAAGATAATAGTGTTTCCACCCAAGTGGAGTATTTGATCTAGTGACTCCCACTGTGCACCTCCCGAGTGCACACTCCTGGGTGTCATTAAGTGCACTGCAGGCTCACACGAGCCACTGAACAGATTTGGTGGAATCAAGATCAGGGCCCTTGACAAAGCCCCAGCACATCTTGTACTGGATTACAGTCACAATTTCTTTGAAGTTATTCCCAAAATGATGGAGTTTTTGTTTCCTGTGTTGTTTGAGCTGGTCTTACGACTCACTTTGAGCAACAGAAAACAAAACTGAGCTGTACCAACTTCATCCGCCGAAGGCTTTTGATAATAATCACTATCTTCAGCCACTAGGTTTTTGGGTTGTTTGCTACACGGTGAAAACACACCGATAACACAAACTCCTTGGCACACAAGGTGATAAACTGTTTTCCTAACATGTCAGAGGAACCTCCAGAATTAGGCTCACTCTTGGTAGCACTGAAAAATTTAAGTGGTCATAGAGGTACTGAGTAGCTCTCTGTGACCTGGCGTGTGTGTCTGTCTGTCTGTCAAACTTTGAGCTTATCTCCCTTTGCTTAGGCGCTCAGGGCACCTAGTAGACCTGGGGGCAGGAGAAACAGTCCACAGGAAAGATACAAGAGGGTCGCTAACACGTAGGAGAATCTCAAGCGCTATCAGTTATTTCAGTGATGGCCAAAAGCACTGTTAGAACCTTCCAGCCCCTCTCAGATCCTTTCTGTTGTCCCGTGAACCTGCTACGATAGGCAGAGACAGGAAGAGTGTGTTGGAAGCATCCAGAATGGCTGTAGCCAACTGAAAATAGTGATTCCAACGCTGTCCAGTGGCCCAGTGTTCATTTTCGGGGCGACAATGTCATTCATTCCCCTAATGAATTGTTTGTTGAGAGAGGGATCTAGAAGAGGGGAGGACTAGAAAAATTCTGAGCTTCATCTGGGTGAGACCCCAGCCCGAGCCTTGCAATAGAAAACCCCGCAACAGGCATGATTCCACCTCCAACCCGTACCCACGTCTGGACTCCGATCCGCCAGGAGCTCCGCCAGCCTCAGTTTCGGCCTCTGCCCTTTTCGTCCACCTGCCCCTGCTCCAAGCCCTTGGGAGAACCCAGCAGCACTCCCGCGGGCGGAAACCAGGTTCCCTACCAGGAACTCCAAGCGCCGCCGCCCAGGCCACCCCAGCCAACTCTGCCTCCCCGGCTCCCTGGCCGCAGAGCGCCCCGCGCCGGCCCGCCCCGCGCCGGCCCAGCCGCGAGCGGAAGTGACGTCGGCGGCCGGCGCTCTCTTCCGGCCCTGCCTCGGCGAGCCTGAGACTTGTTACCTTCCGAGCCGTGCGGGCCACTCCGGCTTTTGTGAGTTCCGCGGCCTGGGGACGGCCTGGGGGCAGAGGGGATGTGAAAGGGCGTGTTTGGCCCGGGGCGCCTCCGCGGCTCCAGGGAGCGACCTGGCGGGCTGGGCTGGGTTGGCCGGTGCCGCGGGTCCTATGGACTCGGGTGGCTGGAGAGGCCGCGGGCGTCGGTGCGGGGAGGAGCGGGGCTTGGGGTGCGCTGGGCTTGGCCTGGGGGTGCTGAGCCCGCTATTTCCCCTCTTCACGCCTAGAATCCCATGGCTATACTGGCTAAGTGTCACAAGTTCAAGCCCGGACTGGGAAATTTAGCTACTTAGCGAGATTCTGTTGTAAAATTTTTAAAAAATTTTGAAGGGTGGAGATGTATTTTAGTGCAAATGGCTTGGGTTCAATCCCAGTAACACGCTCGCGCGTGCACATACACACAACACAAAGTAAAAGCTGGGCGTGGTGGCCCACCCCCGTAGTCCCAGCACTTGGGGAAGATGAGGCAGGATGATGGCCGCGGGTTCTAGGCCAGCATAGGCTACATAGTGAGTTCATGTCAGCCTGAACTACATAGTGAGAACCTGTCTCCAAAGAGGGGAAAAATTCTTTTCATTTATTTTGCGCTAAGGATGGACATTTATTATAAGTCGTTTAATTTTTTTCTCTGATTTATTTCTGTATGCTTTGTATTTGTGCTGTGATATACTGTAACATTTTTATGGGGATATTTGTTTTCTAGAGACAACCTACAGACAACCACACATTGCTTAAAATTCAATGTCTTACTGCTAGGCTCTCCACCAGGCTCAAGAGAACAATGATCTTTCAAACAGATATACATTAGTTGGTCAGTGGGTGTAGCTCAGTGGTAGGGCACTTTCCTATCATAGGTAGAGCCCCTGGGTTCAATCACACCACAAACACAAAACAAAACAACAAATAAGACATAGTACTCCCACCATGGGACTTATAATCTGTCTAGTAAGACAGATTTTATTTTAGTTTATTTTGGGTTTTTGTTGTTTTGAGACAGGGTCTTGCTATGTAGTCCAGGCTGGCCTGGAACTTGCAGCTATCCTCCTGCCTCAGCCTCCCGAGTGCTGGGATTACAGGCATGTGCCACCACACCTGGCAGCATGAGACAGATTTCAAATAAATAACAGTAAATTTGTTATGTGGGTTTATGAATGCAGTAATAGAAATGAAGGTAGTGGTACCAGCTACTCTAGAGGCTGAGGTAGGAGGATTGCAAATTCAAGCCCATTTTGGGCCACTTAGCAAAACTATATATCAAAGCAAAATTTTAAAAAGGGCTTGGAATGTAACTCAGCTGTGGAGCCTTTGTCTAGCATTCCAGGAACCATGGGCACAATTACTAATACACACAAAATAAGAATGCATTAGAAAGAGGGAGGGACTAGGACATATTGAGAAGGATTTAAACCGAGAACAAAAAAGTGTAAGATTTGATTAGTCAGGTTGGTGAGCTAGAATGCAGAGGAGTAGGTGACAACATTTCAGATAAAGGTAACTTCTAGGTAAAACTCCATAGCATTTGAGACCTAAGTGTGTTTCTTTGTTGTTTCATCAGTGTCTCAGTGTGCAGTTCAGGCTAGCCTTGAACTTGTTATTTAGCCTGGGCTGGACTGGAAATCTTGATCCTCCTGACTCAACCTCCTATGTGCTTTGATTACAGGCATGGGCCATCACGCCCAGCTAGGACTAGTCCAGCGAGGGCTAGTGTATTTCTTGAACTGTGGAAAGAGAGTTGGCTGAAGCTGAGCGCAGAGGGAGAGAGAGAGTGATGAGAAGTAGGCTGGAGAGAGGGATTAGCTCCCGGGAATGGCATGTTCTGCCTTTGTATTCTGAGGCCAGAGTAACTTTCTGAAATGTTTAAAGCAGGAGAGTTGAATCTATTTCCAACTTAAATGGAACCCACTAATTACAGTGTTAGGTTGAAGTTCAGAAAAGATGACATGGAAGGCATGGACTCAAGGCAGCTTGTAATGATTGTGTTTTGTATTTCTGTGGTGGTTGCCAAGACTTTGGTGTTATGGGATGCCAAGTACAGAGGTGCATATCTGTAATCCCAGCACTTCAGAGGCTAAGGCATAAGGGTTGGGAATTGAAGGCCAGTTTGGGCTACATAGTGAGTTCAAGGCCATTCTGGGATACATAATGAGTTCAAGATTAGCTTGGGCTGCACAGCTAGCCTCTATCTAAAAAAACAGAAAACAAAAACAAAACATGAAACACCCAGAGATGGGGGGGAGGGAGAGGAGGGGAAGAGAAAGTAAAAAGAATTAAGATGTGTTACATACATGTACCAACTCCCCACGGTGAATGTAGTCAGTATGTACTGCAAACATACACTAATAAAAATTTAAAAAGCCTTAAGTGTGTGTGTGGGGGCTCAAATGTAGATCCAAGGGGGGAAAAAAGTAAATTGTGGTATATTCATATCATTGGAATACTCTACAGTAAATAGAAGGTATTAGTCAGAAGTCAATAAAATGCTGCAGGTGAACTTCATTATCATGATGTTGAGTGACTGAAACCAGACACAAAAGAAAGCCTGACCTTTCTCGACCCAGGGATTCAGACCTCGTTAGAGAAAATGTGTACTTGTCATCTGTTGTTTCCTAACAAAGTAAGTTTAGCTGGATAAGTGGGAGTATGTCTGTAATCCCAGCTCTCAGGAGACTGAGGCAGGAGGATCACTGTGAGTTCAAAGCTAGCCTGGGCAACATAGTGAAACCAAGACCAGCTTAAACTACATAGCAAGAGCCTGTTTCAAAAAAACCAAAAAAAATGGGCTGCAGTTTTAGCTCAGTGGTTCCACTGCCTGCCTTGCAAGTGCAAGGTCCCGAGTTCGATCTCCGGTACTAAAAAAAAAAAAAAAAAAACAACAAAAAATAAGTTTAGTGGTTTAAAACAACATACAATGCTTTATTTATTTAGAAGTGCTGAGAACCAGGTGTGGTAGCACAAGCCTTAATCCTAGTATTTGGGAGGCTGAGGCAGAAGGATTGCCACAAGTTCAAGGCCAGCCTAGACTTTGTAGAGAGACACTACCCCCCCCACCCCCCACCCCCCCACGCAAAAAAAAGGTCCTGGGGGTTGAACACAGGGCCTCTAGCATGTTAAGCACACTTTCTGTCACTGAGCTACACTCCCAGCCCTACAACATATGTTTGCTATCTCATACTCTTTATCAGTGCAGAGTCCAGATACACCTTACATAAGTGTTCTGTGCAGTTTCTCACCAAGGTGCAGTCAAGGCATTGATTGTGCTGCATTCTCGTCTGGCTTCTCAGAAACATGTAGCTAGGGGAGAGACTATCTCTACACTCACCCTGTAACTGGCAAAATGCATTTCCACGGAGCTATAGGACTTGGTCCCTTGCAGCTGGATGTCTGCCCCAGCTCCTAGAGGCTTCCTGCAGTTCTTCCCACATGGCAGACTCATTAGCCAGTGACAAGAATATCTGCACCTCAGGGAGGCCTGGATTCTCTTTTAAAAAGTTTCCACCAGCCTGGGGATCTAGCTCAGTGTTAGAGTGCTTGCCTAATGTGCATAATGCCTTGGATTCAATCCCCCGCCCACACACACACACACACACACAAAGTAAATGAATAAAAGCGGGTGTGGTGGTAATACCTATAATCATCACTCTGGGAGGCTAAGGCAAGAAGATTACAGATTTGAGCCTGGCCTGAAAAAGTTAGTGACTTGGGTTTCTGCCACAGAATAAGAAATGCAGAGAAGTACTGGGGCCATTGCTCAGCACAGAGGCCATGGGTTCAGTCTCTAGTACTGCCCCCCCCCCCTGCGAGAGAGAGAGAGAGAGAGAGAGAGAGAGAGAGAGAGAGAGA